ATATATGTTGTGCTCTTCCCTGGGTCCCCTTTGGGATGAGAAGGGAAAAATATAAATGTTTTAAATAAATAAATAAATAAATAAAATATGTGGGGACCTCCAGTCACATCCCAGGATTTTTTGTGTTCAATTTAAAACAGGGGTTTTGGTGCCGTCTAGAAGTGCCTGGAACCCATAGTTCAATGTTCGGGTTACAAAAAAAATTGGCAACAGAGGAAATCTGTTAGCAACAACATGCAGTTTTTACAGTGGACTCTGCAGAAAATGCTTCATCTGTACTTCATAAAAAAGTTAACAGGACTTCCTTTCCTAGGTTATCATAGTGCCTTCCATGTACCTTCTAAAACTACTGCTTCTAGTATTCCATAGCCATGACAATATTTTATGAAACTAATTGTGGTATGGATGCCCCTTTCATTGATGAACCCATTTTCTGTATATTTTTCAACCTGTAATAAAATTAGGCTAAAAGGATATTTATTTAATTTATTTATTTAATACACTTGTATACCGCTAATATCTCAGCCTAAGTCGGCGACTCATTGCGGTTTACAACAATTAAAAACAATATACAATTTAAAACAACAACACATAGACAATACAAATTATTGGGCCACCAATAATAATACCATGTATCTCGTCACTAAAATCACAGTCCAGAATTCGTCATCCATAATTAACCAGTCCTTAGTCCATAAAATTCGGTGATAACAAACTAACCGAATGCTTGTTTACACAACCATGTTTTTAATCTCTTCCGAAACACCATCAGCGAAGAGGCTGATCGTATCTCTATAGGGAGGGTGTTCCAAAGCCGAGGGGCCACCACAGAAAAGGCCCTGTCTCTCGTTCCCACCAGCCGCACTTGGGAAGCCGGTGGGATAGAGAGCAGGGACTCTCCAGAAGATCTAAGGGTCCTGGTGGGCTGATAGGCTGAGATACGTTCGGATAGATAAGTTGATATGATATGATTAAATGCCCTGAAATTTCCTGACATGGCCCCTTTGTTCCAACTGTGTGCTATTTAAAAAAAAATCAAATTGCTCTTCCGATGTGGAGTATTCATATTTGACTTTTCATTTCAACCATTTAACCTGCAGATGTTGGCAGAGCATCAAACTCGGAATTTCTTGGCTGGTGCATTATCATCATCATCACTGTGTTAATAAGGCAGCAATTTTTTGAATAACACATAATCTTTAGAATTCTGTGCAACTTTAAAAACCAATTGCATAAAACATAAGGTCACTTGTACAGAGTTCCTGGCTGCATGTAGGAAAATATGGGGGTCGTGTGAGCAGACCATCCAGTCAAGGTGGCTAGTGGGAGATTCGAGACAGATGAAAGGAAGTATGTCATAGCATTTGCTACAAGGTGTATAATGGCCAAGATTTTGGGCAGCTTTGAAAGAAGATTTTTAAAATTCATGGAAGATAAGACTACCAGTCATAATAAGTATCTAGTATGTTTAGCCTGGAGAAGAGAAGTTAAGAGGTGACATGATAGCCATGTTTAAATATTTGAAAGGATGTCATATTGATGATGGAATCGGTTTGTTTTCTGCTGCAGAAACTAGGGCATGGAGTAATGATTTAAACTACAGGAAAAAAGATTCCACTTAAGCATTAGGGAAAAACTTCTTGACAGTAACAGCTGTTCTCCCATGGAGTGTGCAGCCTCGGAGCATGGTGGAGGCTCTTCCTTTGGAGGTTTCTAAACATAGTCTGGATGAGGACTCCAAATATGGTGGAAATGCCCTACACATGGCCCTAGAGTACATTTTGCAGCATTCTGGAACAGAGGAAATTGAGGGGGGGGGGGGGAATTGATGGAAAAAGATGCTTCAGTCTAGGATGCCCTAAAACAGTGTTTCTCAATTTGGGGGTTGGGACCTCGGTGGGGGGGTTCATGAGGGGGGTTTCAGAGGGGTCACCAAAGATCATCAGAACATACATATTTCTGATGGTCTTAGGAACCTCTTTGGCAGAGAAGGCTGAAGATCTCTTCCCCGTCCTTCTCTTCCTTTTTGGTGTTGGTGAACTCAAACTCCCAGAATTCAAAAACAGCCCCCCCCCCAGCCCCCCCCCCTCCAACCCCACCAGTATTCAATGTTGGCCATGTAGGTAGTGTGCCAAGTTTGGTACAGATCCATTGTGGGCTGGATTTAGAGTGTTCTGATTGTAGGTTAACTAGAAATTCCAGCAATTATAACTCCCAAATGTCAAGGTCTATTTTCCCCAAACTCCACCAGTGTTCACATCTGGGCATATTGGGTATTTGTGCCAAGTTTGGTCCAGATCCATCATTGTTTGAGTCCATTACTCTCTGGAGGTAGGTGAACTACAACTCCAAAACTCAAGATCAATGCCCACCAAACCCTTCCAGGATTTTCTGTTGGTCATGGAAGTTCTGTGTGCCAAATATGGTTCAGTTCCATCATTGGTGGAGTTCAGAATGCTCTTTGATTATTGGTTAACTATAAATCCCAGTAACCACAACTCCCAAATGGCAAAATCACCCCACCCCCCAATCACACCAGTATTCAAATTTCGGGGTATCAGGAATTTGTGCCAAATTTGGTCTGGTCCAGTGAATGAAAATACATCCTGCATATCAGATATTTACATTACGATTCGTAACAGTAGCAAAATTACAGTTATGATGTAGCAGCGGAAATAATTTTATGGTTGGGGGTCACCACAACATGAGGAAGTGGATTAAGGGTTGAGGAATTAGGAAGGTTGAGAACCACTGCCCTAGAAGCCACAAAAACAGTCCATGGGGAGCATGTGGCCTATAGGCTGTGCTTTGCCCGCCAATGGTCTAACCTGCCAAAAAGAGGCATCCCTATATAGCTCACATTGTTGTATGTAGGATACTCTCTCTGCTTTGCTTCAGCCTTTTTCAGAAAAGCAATTGGTATTTGAGGGACTACTATTTTATGGGTGGTCTTTTAATGGGTGGGTAGCTCTTTTTGAGACAATTGATTATTTATTGTAATTTACTGATTACTTGCAGTTAATTAATTGCTTATAATTTACTATATTTTTCTTTGTACCTGTTTTTAATTATGCAGTAAGCAGCTTTAGTTCCCAGGGACTGCAAAGTAGAGGATATAAATAAAACAAATAAAGAATCCCAAATGAGAATCTCAGTATTCTCATAAATAACCTTGTGTTGTTGTTTTTTTAAAGTAGTGGCATAGTTTATTCATACTACCTCTGAGGATGCTTGCCATAGATGCAGGCGAAACGTCAAGAGAGAATGACTCTAGAACATGACCATATAGCCCGAAAACACCTACAACAACCCAGTTTATTCATACTGTTTTGGGTGTTTCATTAGACTTCCTTTGTGATCAACTGAAAATCATTCATAACAGAGATTCTCGTATGAAATATTGCTTATGAATTATATGGTTCCAAACATGACTCACTTGGTGCAATTCCTGCAAAGCTTTGTGGCATTTGAATAAAAACAAATGCCATGAAATGGTGAGAAATCACCACTTACATTAAATTAAATTGACTCCCTCTTTATTTCTTAACTGTGATTGATCCATCATATATTGCAGTGGTGACACAAAACAATGTAAGAGACTTATTGAATGCTGACTGAGAAGACATCTTAATGTCTTAGTGGGGAGGTCCTGTAATTCAATGGAAGAGCATGGATATATGATTGATCTGTTATATACTGCAGTGGTGTTATAGAACAATATAGTAGGTTTTTTGAATACTAATATCTTAATTGAGAGGACTCATAATTCAATGGAAGAGCATGAATAAGATCCAAAGATCCTGAGATCAAAGTTCTGCTTATGAAATTATGGCACTAGGGAGATGATAGAGAGGCTATTTTAACTGATTCCTTCCTCCCTTTGCTCCCCCCACACATCCAAAAATATTCTTTAAAGGACAGGAGAAGCATCTAAAGTAGAAAGGGTGGTTATATGGAGGAGCTGTAGGTGGACACAGAAGCAAAAAAATCACTTTCTCCACCCAAACATATGTGGTCTGCACCCACAATTTTGCAAACAAAGAACAGAACCATGACATTCCCATCAGCCAAGGTTATTTAGCTATTTCAAAATGGGACCACACGATGCAGCAATTGAGCCTAAGTCTATACTCTCTAGAGTTTTGTGTTATCTGGAGACACTTTTTCAAGCTTGGAGGATGTAGAGGGGGACCCCTTAGGCTATCAACAGCTCTCAGGCCCCCTTCATTCCCATTTGTACCTCTGTGGAAGCCTTAGTGAGGCTCAGCTCTCACATCCATCAGCTACATGCCCACATATATTCATGGAAGGGCTCCTCTGGATCCAATCCATGTGCTTTTTATATAGAAAGCCCCAGGGTCAGTATTTAGCATCTCCAGTCAAGAGTGTCCTATCATTGTGCAAAGTGAGGTGGTCATCTTATGTAACAGACGGTGGATGGCACAAAGGGGATGACATTAACAGCTCCTCTATTGAAGCATGGAGCTATGCATACTGATAACCAGTTCCCCAGTACTCTGCTGTCCTCAGATGTGGTTCATCATGATTGTTGAAGCAAGATCTTATCTGGTTTTATATACGTGGAATGGGAAGAGATGCAATTTTGGATTTTTGCCTTAGGTCGCAAAATACTTATGACTAGACATAAATGTTGGCCATCATGGGAAGCCAATTCAAATCGAAATAAGTAATGATGGGTGAATTGAAGCTGCAGCCTGCTTTTCACAGGAAAAAAAAACACTTCCTGAATTCATGAACAAATTTCCACAAACACAAATGTTTACACTGGCAGTGACTTTCACTTTCTGAAGGTCGTATAGCAAACCTGTAATCTTGATCTGCAGGAGGGCAGTTATAATTCGAATGACATCAATGCTGAGTGCTCGTAATTAAGTACTATTATTCATTTCATTACTGTAAAGATGTATAATTTATGACCACTTCTATCCCCAGGACCTCCATAGAACTCTTAATCAGCTTCAGTCTTTGTCCTTTTCCAGCACGCTGCAAGAACAGAAGGGGGAACTTCGCAAGCGGCTCTCCTACACAACTCACAAACTGGAAATGCTTGAAACAGAATTTGATTCTACACGCCAGTATCTTGAAGTAGAACTCAGACGTGCTCAGGAAGAACTCGAAAAAGTGACAGAAAAGCTGAGACGGTTAGTTTCTGAATGCATTGACTCTGCATCAGAAAAGTTGCATGCTTCATTTGGGGAAATGCCAGGAATTTGAGGGAATGTTGGCATTTGCTGGAAATTCTGAAGGAAGCCAGTTGGTGAAATCACTGGCAAATTACAGAGACAAATGAGTGCTATTGGGAGAAGTTGACACACAACCATTACATTTTGTTATGGCTTATGTACAAAAATGAAATAAGTGTTGAATTGTTTTGGATGATTGTGCAAATATATACTGTACATGTATGTTGAGAAGCAAGGTTTAATCAGTTCAGTAAATGAGGACATTTACCAAGAATGCATCCACATTGTCAACTGAATACTGTTCGATCACACTTCAATTGCCAAAGTCTTTAGTCTTCTTTGCCAAATAACTCTGGTGCCTTATTAAACTACTGATTATATAGCATTGAGCCAAACAAGTGTCAAACTACATTAATTTGACAGTGTAGATGCACCCCAAGAGAAGGTGGAAACCAGCCTAAAGTAGCAACTGATTCATACATAGCTGTCAAATCTAGAATCATACATAGCTGAATCATACATATATAACTGAATCATACATAGCTGTCAAACCCCCATCATTGCATAGCATTGAGCCAAACTGGTGCCAAACTCCATTAATTTGACAGTATAGATACAACCCAAGAAAGGGTGGAAACCGGCCTAAAGCAGTAACTGGACCATACATAGCAGACAAATCTAGAATGACTTATTGATAGAATTACCACAATCACACTGTGAGTTTCCAAATATTTCCCAGCTCTTGTCAGAAATGTTTTTAGAGGTCTCTGTCTGGAGAAGTGGGAAAACCAGCCCTGAGAAGGGTTTTGGACCTGAGCACTTCCATTCATTCTGGAGCATTTTAGATTGCCTTTCAGCAACAGCTTCAAAGTGGTGACCTCTAAAAAAAACAATCCATTAAAAGTCATCCATTACAACAAAACCAACTAAAAACATTAGCAACAAAAGATCAAAACAACAAAACTGTACAGCTAAATATATGTTGAACCGTCATAGCTTTTTAAAGAATGCTAGAAGGAAATGTGCTAAATATACAACTGGTAGAAGATCATGTTCCAGTCAGTAGGCCCACGAACACAAAAATAATCCACCTAGATAAGAGTGAAGGTCTGTAGTGCAGCTTTCTGTTCCCTCACATTCCAGTGAAATTCCTATGAGGGGAGGAACCAATGTACCTTAGATGCTGACATGTATAAACTCCCACTGTTTATCACCAGTGAGACTGATGGGACTCTGATTCCAAGAATGTTTAGAATGACACAGATTTTTGTTCTCTAATCTATGGGAAACCCACACATCCTCCAACATTTCACAGATGAAGACTGGGACATAGTGGACAAACAACAATAGAATTTAATCAAGCTAAGGAAGAGCATCCAAGGGCCCTTCCACACGGCCCTATCTCCCAAAATATCAAGGCAGAAAATCCCACATTATCTGTGTTTAGACTCAGATAACCCAGTTCAAAGCAGATATTGTGGGATTTTCTGCCTTGACATTCTGGGATTTAGAGCTGTGTGGAAGGGCCCCAAGTCAGGAAAGGCTTCAGCAGTTTGCTTTTGTCTGAATCTACTAAAATGTTTGGACTTATGCATGAGTTTTATGTTATTTTACACTTAGCAGGAGAAGTCAGGGAAGGGCAAGATTTTGACCTGTCCTGACAGGCCCGTAGCCAGGATTTCGTTTCGGGGGGGGGCTGATTTTTTTTCAGGGGGGGGTTTGGGGGGCTGATTTGGGGGGGCTGAGTTTGAGTGAAAGAGGGTCTACCCTAGCAAACCTTTTGTATCGTTACCCCAATACCCCCATGCATATGGGATATATTGAGTATGGTGATCAGATCATGATATGAATAAACATAACAGTTTAAATAATGCACCATAAGGCCTTTTCGCGGACCACCCTGAGAATTTGGGGGGGGGGCTGAAGCCCCCCGAGCCCCCCCCCCCCCCCCCCCCCGGCTACATGCCTGTGTCCTGACATTTCCTCCTGCTGTATGTAAACTAACCAATACACACATGTATGTCCAGACATTTGAAGCTAGATCTACACTGCCCTATATCCCAGGATCTGATCCCAGAGTATCTGTTTATCCCAGATTATCTGGCAATGTAGACTCATATAATCCATTTCAAAGCAGATCATCTGGGACGAGATCCAGGGAAATAGGGCAGTGTAGATCCAGACATAGTGAAAAGACCAGTTTAAGAAAATCTAGGTTGACTTATCCATGAGTCAATGTGAGTACTGTACCATAATTCTTATCCCAAAAAAGTAGAGTGGCAAAAGGAAAGAACTTAGATTATCTTAGATGGACACGAAAGAAGCACCAAAGCTCTATTTTCTCCTCCATGGAGCCACTTCTAGCCTTTTTGGATGCCTGGGTGGGGATGTTGATGGCGTTGGTGCTTTCTCCTCTCAATGGAATGACTCTTGATTTATTCATGTGTCATAGCATAATTCACAAATTTGGCTCCAAAGCTTGCTTCAATTTATACATGAGGTCGATTTATACATAAGTATATACAGGCAGTCCCCAAGTTACGAACAAGGTAGATTCTGCAGATTTGTTCTTAAGCAGAATTTGTAGTTGGAACAGATACATTTTAAAGTGTAACTCCAGCCAAAAATATGTACTTTTTAGCTTTGGTTAGCATAGGGAAGGGTTCACCTCACTTTCTGTCCCTGTAATAATTGGATTTTAATAAATTTGGCTTGTTGTGGAACTAAGAATTTGTGATAACACTTCAGTTGAGACACCTTTTCCCCATCATAACTCTTCGAGGAGTGAATTTCCTTCCTAGGAGTAGATTTCTCTCACTTCCTGTGGTCTCATCCCCATTCTTAATTATGGGTCATTTGTAAGTCAAATGTTTGTAACTCAGGGACTGCCTGTTTTTTTGCTGTAAACCTAGTTTGTGGCACCTGTAGTAAAGTGATGACAAAGGGGAAAGGGGGAGATGGATTGAGGAAACTGGAACGTTTTAAACGTAATTTCAGAAAGGAAGGTCATAGAGGATGAATTGGGATTGCCCCTGCTAAATAAGGATAGTTGGAATATGTGGGCCCGTAAACTGCATAGTAAGGATTCTTTTATCCTTCTGATCCCTGATGGTTTCCATTTTTCTCAACATATTCTCTCTCCATTGCCAAAAATGCATATGTGGTTTTGCTTTGATTCAAAATCGAAAGGGAAGTGAAACATTTCTGAGCAAAGAGCAAGCACCTTGCTGTCCCATTTAATCTTTTCAGGGGGCTTTCACTTACAAAACCTTTCTTTCCCTCCAAATATCATTACTGTTAGAAACTTTTTTCCCCCATCATGTTCTACATCCTCTGCAGTGGGATTCCACGGGGAGGACTGTACGTAAAGAACACATTTTGCAATCCCCTGCTGCTTTCTAAAAGGCATTTTTGCCATGTTACAAGTAAAGAAGCTTCATGGCAATGAGCAGTGGGAACCTGTCAGGAGACACGTATTGTATTTTCAGTGTACAATTGAAGCATAGGATTTTTTTTTTCAGGAATTCATCTTTTGACATTTTTAAAATACCACATATTTAATCCAAATTGATTGGTTTGGAAGAAGTTATTTGAAATATGTTTTTTTTTTCTGTTACTTACGATCTGGAATCAATTTGTGTAATACTTTGACTCATATATAAGGATTTTTTTTCTGGTTTTGCCTCGTTCTGATGGTATATATTTTAATAAATTTTAAAAGAAGATATAATAAAATGGCAAACCAGTAAAAAGAAAAAAATCATACTTCTACAACAAAGGGTGTTGCAGTTTGGTGAGTCATCAGCACTCTTTTTCTAATAATAATAATAATAATAATAATAATAATAATAATAACAACAACAACAACTACAACAACAACAACAACTTTATTTTTGTACCCCACCTCCATCTCTCCGATGGGGCTCAGGGCAGCTTACATGGGGACAAGCCTGATCAATCATAGTTAAAATAACACATTAAAATTAATAAAAACAGCAACAAGCAAAATAAAACAACCTAATGTCCTTATAAAACTCCCAAGATTCCACACCATTGAACCTTGGCAGTTAAAGTGGTGTTTAACTGCATTAATTCTTCAGAGTAAATGCACCTTAAGATTACAAAATATCTTCCAATAGGAATATAAAATAGATGGAGAAATTATTTTCGATCTGTATATTAACAGACATACATATCAGCTTTATCTGAACCTCTCTACTTTCACTTACTATTGCACCCTAGGCCTGAAGCCAAAGCACCACACAATAGTCCAGAGTATAAGCAAACAGTTTATTGTTTAAAAAATACATAGAAGGTATACAGAAAAATCAGGTATAAGAAAGTAAGGTATGCAATCCAAAAGGGTCGGCACTAGGTGATAACCAAACAATACTATTCTCTCTTATAAAACCAAAGGTAAAACAGTCCAAAGATAGTTCCAAAATGCAAAGGCAGCTTAATTCCACAAGCAGAAAATATGCTTATCAAAACTGAAACTGGAATACAAACAAGAACATGGAAAAACTCCCAGGATACTTAAATCTAAGTCCAAGGCTTGAAACATGAACCAGACCATTCAGGCTTAGCTTCTAACTTGAATGCTACGTTGCCTGAACTGAAGTCAGAGTGTCTGATAATAAAAAGACATTAAATCATTATGTCTGCCACGGAAGTTCTGTTTCCCACAAAGCCATGTTGATCTATGAAGCTGGTTATCAGCCTTAATCTGGAATCTTAGGTCTGTATCACCAGGTGCTTTCCTGTGAGAGATTCCTGTCAATTCATCTTCATTCAACCACTTATCTAAGGAGGATGATTCCAACTCCTGTGACTAACCTTGAGGCTATGAGGCGATTATATTATCTGGGCCTGCATCACTGTCTGAAGCAGTTTCATTTTCTTGTTCTGTTTCATTCCCTTGGCCTGTATCACTATGAATCCCAGGAAAGCCCACAATCCCTTCCAATCTAAATCATCAGTGAACCCATCAGTCCCTGGCTGCTGTGACTGCTGCTGAGCTATAATACCTACTGCATATTTCTATTATTATTTCCGAAATACTTATCTACCAATAATCATAGAATCATAGAATCAAAGAGTTGGAAGAGACCTCATGGGCCATCCAGTCCAACCCCCTGCCAAGAAGCAGGAATATTGCATTCAAATCACCCCTGACAGATGGCCATCCAGCCTCTGTTTAAAAGCTTCCAAAGAAGGAGCCTCCACCACACTCCGGGGCAGAGAGTTCCACTGCTGAATGGCTCTCACAGTCAGGAAGTTCTTCATCATGTTCAGATGGAAATCAAATCCATGGGAGAATGTCAAGGAATACCAGGTGCTATAGATTATATTTCAGAGGAAAGAACTGGCAAAACCATTTCTAAGTATTCCTTGCATAAGAAAACCCTATGAAATTCATTGGGTTATCATATATGTACAGGTACCTTGAAGGCACATACATACTCACACAAGGAGGCAAATTTACATTTTTTCCCCTGAGATGTATGACCTGATTTGGGTTAATCAGCACACTCTGATGCATGTATAGTAAAACCTCCATATCCACTGCAGAAACAATAAGAGCATCTGTGGATACCTGTAACTATATATTAGAAAGTCTTGAAGCATACCATAACACTGCACCGAGGGACCTACAAAGGGGGAATATTTTAATTGCTTGGTAAGTGAAATTGTGAACATTGAGTCCATGGATAAGGGGTTCATACTGCATTCCAATTTCCCCTTACTATGTCCTGAAATTCCAATTTCCCCTTACTATGTCCAGTCACCCCTAAGAATCCTACAAGACTGATGACTGTCCCCGTGCTACCGAATTTGCTTGTGGCTGAGTGGGATTTGAACCTATGTCTCCTTTTGTCTTAGTCTCGCATTTTGTTGAAATGTGGACCTGATAATCCTGATGTGTAAGTATCTTGATAATTCTGTAGTCAAGATTGATACTCCAGAGTGCCTACTTACAAAGCACCTTTCCCGAAGGCCTCTTGGGATCTTGAAGTCTACAGATCTTGGCTTTATATTGATCAAAAAGACTTTGCCAAGTAGCGGAAAGTAGCAATCAAATAGATGTTAAAAGTCAGTGGGAAACTAATTTACAATTGCTCATGCAAAATCTGAGGTTAAAAAGTACAATACTGAATGTGCAAGGATATGTTAATTATAGGATTTCATTTTTATTTCAGGATACAAAACAATTACCTAGCCTTACAAAGAATTAATCAAGACCTAGAAGACAAACTGTACAGGATGGTAAGTACAGGGGCTGTCATATTGTTTTAAGCATATTTTTTGATCCCTCAAACTTGGAAGATGTTGAATCATGACTAAAATTGATGAACTTTCCATTTGAACTCTGACAGTACAGTTCCAAATATTTTTTTTTCTGACAAAGTGAGTCTGATAGAATTTTTTCTAGTCATTGTTCTTATAACTGCAACCTGAGAATCTCACTTCATAACTTGTCGAGAATTTTCCCACATTGCACCATTACACACACATATACACACTGTAAATTTTACACTATGCAAAGGATTCTTGTAGCACGTTAGAGATTAAAAGAAACAAATTAGTAGCATAAGCTTTTATAGAGTTAATTCTACTTTCTCAGTTGTTGCCTGAAGCTAGGATCACTAGATAACAATATGAATGGTGGAGGAGTTATCAGAATGCAGTGTGATGCTGGCTGGAAAAAAAGGACATATGATAATCTGGCCATGAGAGCCCTCATAAGATTGGGGTATTAACTGTATATAGTGTTCCTGGAAATCATGGTCTCTATTCAACCACTGTTGGTGAATTGCGGATATATTCCAGTTCCACTGTTTCTCTTTCCAATCTTCCTTTGTGAGTTTTTGTTTTTTTCATTGTTCAAGGACAGCTGTTCTGAGATCAGAGATGGAATATCCAGGAAGACTGAAATATTCTGCAACTGTTTTATTTGTGTATGTTTTCCCAGTTCTAATGTTTGATTTATGTCCAGTTATCATCTGCTGCAGAGACAAGTCTGTTTGCTCAGTGCAGAGTCCTGAAAGGCATTGTTTTCAGAGGATGGCATATATCCCATTAAAGGATAAGCAAGTGAAAATCCCTCTAATATTCTCGGTGATATGATTAGGTCCTATGAAGATATTTCCTGAGTAAATGTGTGGGCAGAGTTGGCATCTGGCAAAGCCATGTACCAATTTCTGTATCCATGTTATGTGTCTTCTTGTAGGTAAGTAACTGGACCACATCACATTGATGAGGTCCTGCGGGAGGATTTGCCAACCTCTTTGGTGAATCGGTGGGGGTAGTGGGACAATCCCGGCACCTGGCACCCCACCTCACCAGCAGCAATGCTTCCCCATCACATGTGGGAAAACGTCACTGTAAGCTTCTCCCCATCCTGACCTCATGGTTTGGGTGCAGTGTTGTAGGATACTTGCACCTCAGTTCATCGACGGAGTCCCACCGCAAGTGAGCCTACGTTGTGTGATGGGTAGTGTGGGGCTTTGTCGATCAGCTGTGCTGCAAGCACCCTAGGATGCTTGCAGACCGTCATGTGATGAAGTCCACTGTTTCAGATTGGGAGACTGTGGGTAAGAAAAAGCCTGTCACCAAGACTGTTTGAGAAGACAGAGTTACTGTCCAGACTAGATTGTAGTTCATGGAATGGTCTAAATTGGAAGCTGCATGTGATCACTAATGGGATTCTGCCATTTTCTGTTAAACGTTTGTTCTGTAATAATCATAGGTACAGTTCTTGCCTTTTTATTTTATTTTTTTTACTTCATGACATGATTACTTTAGCTTGAGGTATGCTTCTTGTAATGCTGTGAGTTTGGTGTCCCTATCTGGTGGGTCTCAGCAGATGCAATTGTATCAGTGGGCTTGACTGTAAACTATGGATTTGGAAGTGTGTAGAGGGTGGAAACTGGAGGCATATAAGTATGTAAATGCTTCTGTGATACAGTTTTATATTCACATAGTCATTATGTAGCTGTATGGCAGTGTTCAGAAAGGGGATTAGTTCTGTTGATAGTTCCAAGCAGAGACTGATGGCAGGGTAAGCATTGTTAAAATTCTGGTGGAATATCTTGAGTGGATGCTCCCCATGAAGTCAAATTGTGGAGATATCATCAATGTACCTCAGATAAAGTAGAGATTTATGGATGCACAAGTTAAGGAAGCATTGCTCTAGGTCAGTTATGAAAATGTTGGCCTGTTGTGGTGCCTTGCAGTACCGTTAACTTCAAGGTACTGTATATATTATTATCAAAAGTAAAATACAGGCAGTCCCCAAGTTATGAACAAGATAAGTTTTGTAGGTTTCCTCCTAAGCTGAATTTGTTTGTAAGTTGTAACAGATATATATTTTAAGTATAACTCCAGCCAAATATATATATATATATAGAGAGAGAGAGAGAGAGAGAAAGAGAGAGAGAGAGAGAGACATACACACACACAGAGAGAGAGAGAGAGAGAGCTTTGGATTGTATAGGGAAGGGTTAACACACCTGTGGTGATTGTTTTGCTGCCTGTGCCCCTGTCCAGAAGATTTCATCTCACTTTCTGTCCCTGTGATCAATGAATTTTCAGAAATTTGGCTTCTTGTGGAAACAAGAATTGGTGAGAAAGCTTCAATGGAGACACTTTTTACCCATGATATTTCTGCCAGGAGTGAATTTCCCTTCCTGAGGTTAGATTTCTCTCGCTTCCTATTGTCTCACTCCCGCTCTTAACTATGAGTTGTTTGTAAGTCAGATGTTTGTAACTCAGGGAGTGCCTGTAGTTGAATGTGAGAAAGAAGTGGTAAACCTTGGTGGCTGAAATGATGTTCCTGGCCATTTGTGGTTCATCACTGTGTAAGATGTTGATATATAGGTGATTCTACATCCATAATGGCTAACATGGTGTTCTATGAATGTCTGTGGAAAGACTAATTTCTACAGGAAGTTAGTAGTCTCCTTTGCATAGCTGGAAATGTTTCCCTTCTTAATCACTCCCTTGATTGCTCCTTTGGTGGATGGCTGCGTGTGGATTTAGTAAACAAATCTGTGAAATGGGTACCAACAGTACCCAGCCTTATTTGTTGTTACAAAGATTGCAAAGTATCATCCGCCTTACGAATGATTCAAAAGACTTGAAAGATGCTTCTTGGGAGACTGTGGGTAAGAAAAAGCCTGCCACCAAGATTCTTGGTGTGTATGTTAATAAACTCTTCCACTCCCACTAAAAATTATTCTCATCAATTAGTATTAAGGCATAACCAGATTGAGCTGCACAACACAAAGACATTCCCTGCTGTGCCATTAAAAAGGATCATACAAAATAGTAGACCCTTCACTATACTGGGCAAGATCTCCAGCTGGTGTGGAGGAGAAACGTTACCATTTTAAACAAAGCAACACTAATTAATACCATCGAAGGATTCCACTACCTTGCAGCATTTCCCTGCTTAATGCAAGAAATCATCTGCTATCTGGGTGGTAGACCAGATGGAAGATTCTGAGGATCTCACGGGCTTAGTTTAGGTTGCCATACTCAACAGTGAGATTGCACAGCTTAGGAAGGTTTGGGCATTATTTTTTATTCAAGAAATCTTCTCATTTGGGAAATAAGACATATGAACAAGCCTACACATATTCACTGATATTGAAATGGCCTGGGATTCTAGGACAATGTCCAAAACAAATTGGATGATGTTTTTTTTAAAAAATATCCCATCAGTAAGAAGCAACCTAAGAATGATTCAAAGTCATACATATAGTTGATTAGCTTGTTTGGTGGAACAATGCCACCTAGTTGTGCTGACACTGCAAGAGATGCATAAAGCTGTGCCTTAACACTGGCTATCTCTTCTATACAACTGACACCACCACCCTGTATAGATTACCCACCAACAGAGTGAAATTTAGAGTGTCTAGACTACACAATTATAGCAGGTTAATGCCACTTCAATTGTCAAGAGTTTCCTTCTAGGATTTATACCTAAGTGAGTTACTACTAGGGATCTCTGAGAGTAAACAGAACTCTCTACCAGAGATTTCTAAGTGCCTCACTAGACTACAGATACAGGATTCCATAAATGGCAATAAATGTGGTATGGAACTGTTACAACTGTGTGATGTATATACACTTCCACATCCAAGTAAATGTGTATGTTAAGCAGTTGAGCCTGTGGTTGCTTCCAACTAATCTGCAGATGCCACTAATGAGGATTGTGATTAGGCCACTTTGGGCAACTATAATGATGATATCCAAGTCTTTGGAAGATTTTTCACTTTTGCTAGAACTGGGGTGTATCCAGATTTCCAGAATTCATGGACTGCAACTCACCTAATCCCTTACAATTGACTATGTTTCTGGAACTTTTAGAAGCTGAAGTCCAAAATATCTTGATGAGCAACAGCTTTCTACTTTTGATCTATGCAGTTACTACAAGTAGCAGTGATCCAGGTCAGAAAATGGTGTGGGATGAACTCTGGGAGCAGCAATAGTCATACAATTCAAAGGATGTCTATTATTAGCTGGCTCATAGTTATTTCAAAGAGACTTTTTGTGAATGTTAATGATAAGGGTCGAAGGCTGCCTTTTAAACCTTTTGATCTGAATATGAATGAATGTTCCCAGTGTAACTTTTTATGAAAGTATATATTTAAAGACATTTGTCATGCATTGTGCAGAGAGCGCTGGTGGTGATCTGCAAATGAAAATGGTTTTAAAACCATTTTCATTAGTGCTTTGAAAAACTATAAATATTGCTTTGCTTTTCAGAAAAAAAAATCCCAATATATTTCCGAAGGCTTTCATGGCCAGAAACACTGGGTTGTTGTAGGTTTTTTCGAGCTGTATGGCCATGTTCTAGAGGCATTCTCTCCTGACGTTTCGCCTGCATCTATGGCAAGCATCCTCAGAGGTAGCCCGAAAAAAACCTACAACAACCCAAATCAATCTCACTTTCTGCCTAGACGCTTTCTTATGACCTCATCAATTTTTTCCCTGTCCTAGTGCACTGCCAGCATGCTGCATGAATGGAGTCTGCTGGAGCCCATCATATGACTCTAGACTATTTCTGGCACGGTTCTGTTGGGCTCCGTTCTGGCAGCATGCTACCAGCACACTAAGAGGAAGTCCTGAGGATACAAGTGACTACCCATATCCTTATTTAAGAAGACAGGGAGAGTATGGGAGGAAGCCAGGGACAGCTGGAAAATGTCATGGGACTGCAGCCCATGACCAATCATGGTAAGGGAACAAAGCTGGGCACT